AATAGGAGGGAGATTTAGGTGGTTAAGTTTTTTAATTGCATACGTTGGTCTCAGTTCTGGAGTCAAAACGATCCTCCTCATACTCTCCTGTGTCAGTTTCAAAGTAAAATCATTTTGGGATAAAAGATCGTGATAGATGGCCTTCACAGAGGATTCCCACCTCTGTTAAGAGATTGCAGGAAGACCATTCACAGTTTTGTATGTAGCCAGAATAGGCACCACAAGTACTATGCTGCCAATGTCCTAGCTAGCTGGTGTTCCAAGAGGAGGTACAAAACTAACAACATTCTTCACTGTCTCTGGCCAATTAAAAATTAAAGACGTAATGATTTTCCGCTGCCCACTCCCACACAAGCAGCCAACTTTAGAAATCCACCACCTAACCATTTCTGTATCTAAAATGCACCAAATGTTCCCCTTGATTCTACAGCTAGGGCCATAACTTTCTCTGCTCCTAGAGGTCCTCCAACCCTTCATCTAGAGAAGAATTAGCAATAAGCATCTTGTGTCATACCCAATCTTGCAGGAAATAAATTCCTACAACCATCAAACAAACTATTAACTGCTCAGGCAGTCAAAGATCTTATGCCAATTGCCCAACTTAGGTACAGGGCACTTCGTATAGACACTGAAGATAGTGCCTATGCTTCTCGAGATCCACCTCAAAGAAGCGGTAATCCAGAAATTCCGATCATTTTGTAACTAAGGAAAAGCAGTGAATGAACTTGAGTGCTTGACCAATTATGAGAAAGAGAGAAATGGGTTATCAGGCCGGGGGGGAGTAGAGAATTTACTTGTGCCTATTGAGCATGATAACTAAAATTCTTTCTCAGAATGTTAAAAGGTTGAAGTGATACTGCCAAGAGAGTTGTGATTAAAAGGGTTATGAAAAGATGGGGTGGTGATGTCGTATGTTTGCTACAAAACAAAATGAAAAATACGAAAGATCTTATGGCTAAAGGGTTAGAGAACTTATAGCCAAAGTGCTACAGGAATCAAGGGACACCAAATGGCATCATCTCACAGTATCTAGGTGCGGTGAAAGGAAGGAAGACCTGACTTCGTTAAAGGGTATACATTGTGGTGCGTGTCACTTTGGACTTTAAGGGCTCTATTAGGCATTCAATTTGCACAAGGATGTATAAAAAAAGGGAAAGCTGGGGCAGTGGACTTTCAAGGGAGGTTTACCAGGATTAGGCAGACTTGGGATTTTCCATGGCTTGTGGTTGATGATGATCTTTCACATGGTCCTCTTTCTTTCAAAAAGATCAAGTGGACATGCATTTGGGATTATGCATAACAATTTTGGGAGATCATCATTAATTGAACGGGATTGATCTCCCATTGCTAGGAGATAGACAGGCTTAGTGCAATACCAAGAATCCTCTCTACTATTCTAGAATTTAAGCGGACGTTATGAGAACGAGATGGGAAGAAGATGGAATTATGAAAACTAGTGAGAATGGAAGAGGATTTCCAATGTCGATTTCGCTGGAGAAGGAGGTGTAGTAAATGGATGTGTTTGCCAAATTTTACTAGAGAAAGGGTGGGAAAATGTGGGGGAAGCACACGACCAAGAAAAACCACAAACTTTGGTGGCATTGGGACGAAACCGAAACAGGAGATTCTTGGTGCTAGCTAAGGAGATAGGACAAACAGTGAAACAGACTTTATTCCAGAAGGACACGAAACACGAAGCTAGTGGAAGGTGATGAGATTAGTGTACAAACTTCCATACTAGTCTTTGGTTAGTCCGGATACCAAACAGAGGAAGTTATGGGTATGGATACGAGGGACGAAAGGAATGAGACCACACAAAGGAAGGAGATATTAAGTGCCCTCACAGCCAAGTGAATCTCCATATCACGATGGAAGTGATACGCGAGAGGTCATTTGCAAAGGTGATCTAAAGCGGAGGAGAGATGCTGAATCAGGTAGGAAAGATACAGCCCAAAAAAGAAGCAGAGCAGGTCAAATTTGAATTTTAAAATGGGAAGCACATGCATAGAAGGGGATATTATCAAAACGAAAGGCATGGAGGTCGTTTTGGTGGTGGAGGAAGGACTGCGCCAAGGAATTTATGTGAGAATAGGCTAAATAGAGGCAGAAGTGCTATACTATAAATAGGTCATCAATTGATAATTGTATTCATTCAAACTTACAACAATAAAATTAAAGAGTTGAAGACACCTCACTTAGTTGAAAATAACTCGTTAATTTTATTACTGTAAACTTGAATTAAAACAATTGTGAATTAATAGTATATTTATGGTGTATCCCTTGTGAATAATAAAAAAAATAATCTTATAATTTAATGACAAAATTATATAGGAAATTAAATTTACAGTAAAATAAGAAAACTAACAAAATTAAGAAGATCACAATTACAATAAAATAGATATGATCTTCTTATTAGAAAACCTTTTTGAATAGGGAAGATTTTAATGGTGGAAGATTTGAGGGGAATAAAAAGGAAAAATTAGGGTCAGCCAATAAAGAGGAATTATGGCCACCCATAAGTTTCCTAAACTATGAGATTTGCCCCCTTAATTGTGTTTTTCTCTTCTTCGAGGATTAATTGTGACTTACAAGGAAATTTCTCTCCTTGGCCGATTCTCCCCTTTAAGGAGAAGATTTCCTACAGGAAAAGGAAAGGAAATCTCGTGGGGAATATCCCTCTTTCCATCTTGGTCGATTTCTCTCTTGCGAACTTTTCCTTTTCCTTTCTTGTATTCCTCTTGCACTTGGATTGAGATGTAAGTATCATTTTGTCCTTAAATTGTTGGGCTGGTCTTCTTCCTTAAACCTTTTTAATAGATCCAAGCTCATCTTTCTCACTGATTTATGCTTAGATAAAGAGTTGAAAGGCTTGTTGTAGTCTTTTTGCTCTTCCTCTTGTAATGGGCCCACTTAGCATTGTGATATCTTTTCCAAGTGACCCAAATCCATCTAAGTTATGTAAATTTCCCATACTTGCTCCTCGGCCGACGTCATCTCCTTTCGATTGGGCCTTGCTGCGGGTCGGATCCTCATGGCTGCATTCTTCTTCATGCTTCCTCTCTTGGCTGCCAACTTGTCCATTCTTTTGGGCTTATTCGTCCCTTTCATGCTCCATATCCATGCCCACATCAATATTTTTAGAAATTGAGAAAAAGAGGAAGGAGAGGAAGAAGAGAGGGACAATGATGGGAAAGGAAAGGAGGAAACAGGTAGAGGGAGGATCAAGAGAGTTGAAAAAATTGCAGTCATTAATTAATTATGACTGCAGGAAGAAGAGTAACAAGAATGACGGGGATTTGAGGAAGTTCGTTGAAATGTTGGGAAAATAATTTCTTAGAATGCGCGGAGGATTAATGACCAGAAAAAGAAAAGACAAGTGATCTGGAGTTGTATGAGTAGATACAAACCAGATGCTATTTGCCTTCAGAAAATAAAAATGGAGGCAATCTCGGAGAGAAATAAAAAGCCTATGGAGAATGAAGGAGGTAGCATGACGTGTTCTTCCAGCAATAGGGGCGACTGGAGGCACTGTTTTGCTATGAAGGGAGGATAAAATATCAAGTAAGGAGGTTATAATGGGAAAATCATCTCTCTCGTGTTTATTTGAGAATTGTCAAGGAGAGTATGGAGGGGATATTTATTGGAGTGTCTTACAGGGTACTAGAGAATTAGAGAAGAGTGTTGTGGAGGGAACTTGAGGAGTCCAAGAAAAGATGGGGAAGCAAATGGGTTGTGAGTAGGGATTTTAATATGATGTTGAGGACAAAGAAAGATCAAGCGAGCATTTCTGTAAAACTTGTGCCAATGAATTCAACGATGCATTATACAACTTAGGGCCGATAGACTTCCCTCTTGTGGGGGAGAAGTGGATGTGGACAAATCAAAGGAACAACTCTACACGTTCAAGAATTGATCGATTTTTGATTTCTTATGATTGTCTTATTTCCCTATTTTCATTACTTCAGATGGCATACAGTGGGGACCTATACCTTTCATATTGAATAACAAATGGCTAAAGGTGATGAGTTGATTGGACTGGATAGTCCTCCCCATCACTAAGGGCATCAGCCGAGTTTTTGATCATATGGGATAACTGATTGGTTACCAGAGTTGATTGGAGCATAATCGTTGTCACTGCTTCTTAATGTCAATGGTAAAAAGTGCTGGTGCATCATGAGTGCTTAAAGTCCTAGTAGATGTAGCGCTTAAAAAGTGCTGGTGGATCATGTAGTGCCTAAAGTCCTACAGCTTAGCCTGGAAGACGTGAACAAATCTGATTACTTCGACTGGAACTAGGTTGTACCTCCATTACTGAGGGTTAAGGGTGAGGAAAGAAGCTAAGCCTCTATGGGAAGGAGCAATTTTTGTTGGACAATGGTGTATTTGGCTGGAAAGGAATAGTCAGATGTTCGATGACCATACTACCTTCATTGTAAGATATGAGATAGGACAAATTTCATGGCAACATCAGCACCACTTATACGGCTTCTAATCCGATCAATTATGCCTCTTTTAAGCATGTTGAACTAGATATTCATTTTATTGAGATAAGGTACAAGCACAACAACCAATAGTACGATATATTATCAATCAAGATCAGTTAGATAACATTTTCACCAAAGAACTTTCTTCTACAAAGTTCTATCACTTGAACTCCAATTTCTGCATATCACCCTGCACAGCTTGCGGAGTAAAGGGGAAAATATGTTTTATATTTAATTTCTATTGTGTACACCACGAATATCATTTTTTTTTGTGTTACTAGGATCCTTCAACCTAAAGTTTATTAGATTACAACTCTATAT